GGATTCTTGGAGGATCTGTGCAACTCTGCCGCTTGCTGGATGAGGCTCACCTTTCAGAGTGGAGAGAGCACGGGGCCTTTGAGGTCCAGTCCGGTGCCTTTGGGTCAGGTCTGGCTAGAGAGGAGACAGTACATTAGCTGGAGAACTGGTACATTTTATCCACAAGCCAATGTCAGAAAAATATTGTTATTACTATAGTGTGCTCTTTTGAGTGCACAGGTTGCTACTTTGTTTCCAGTCTATTACCTAGGATAGCAACCAACCTAGAACTCTCAGTGGCTTCACACAATGAAGATTTATTTCTTGTTCCATATCATGTCCAATCGAGGTCAGGGTGCAAAACAGTTCTAGATAGAAGCATGGAATAGTGGGAGCAAATTTTTTTCCCTGCCATGGCAACCTGGAAGGCATGTATTCTTAATGGTTGGCTGCAAGATGGCAGGGCCTATATCAACCCAAGTGCCCGAGTGACTGTGGGGAGTAGAGCAAAGACATTTTCCACCCTGACCTAGATTGGACATGATAATAAAAATTCATTTATGGCCACTGAAATCCTAATTTCATGTAATTTTCATGTCATAAAATATAATTATTCAGCCAGGCACAGTGGCTCACACCTGTAATCCTGGCACTCTGGGAGGCCAAGGTGGAGGATTGCTCAAGGTCAGGAGTTCAAGACCAGCCTGAGCAAAAGCGAGACTGGTCTCTACTAAAAATAGAAAGAAATTACTGGACAACTAAAAATATATAGAAAAAAAATTAGCCAGCCATCGTGGAGCATTCCTGTAGTCCCAGGCTGAAGCAGTAGGATTGCTTGAGCCCAGGAGTTTGAGGTTGCTGTGATTTAGGCTGATACCATGGTACTCTAGCCCCACAGAGTGAGACTCTGTCTCAAAAAAAAAAAGTAATTCTTCTTTTTTTTGTTTGTTTTTTCCCCAGTCATTAAAAAATGTAAAAAAAAAATCGTATGGAAAAGCAAATGCTTAAGAATAACCAGGATAATCTTGAAAAGGAGGGAAACAATTGATTTATATGTTTAACTAAACATCAAAGCAAAGTTTAGTCATCCCTTGATATAGTTGGGGGATTGGTTCCAGGACTCCCATGTATACCAAAATTCACGCATACTCAGGTGCTGCAGTGGGTCCTGCATACATATGTAAATCTTGCAATGGGCCATACAAAAACTTGGCCCTTTGTATATGCAGTTTTCACATCCCACCAATACTGTATTTTCCATCCGAATTTGGTTGAAAAAATCCTCATATATGTGGAACCATGCAGTTCAAGTCCATTCGTTCAAGGGTCAACTGTATAGAGCTGTATGGGACATATAAGACAAAAAAGGATTAATCAGATGTACCTGAGTGTAGCTCTGAACTTTCCACTTTGGAAATATGGAAAATCCAGAACTTTATTCAGGTATGTTTGGTGATTTTTTTTTTTTTTTGAAACAGAGTCTTGCTTTATTGCCCAAGCTAGAGTGAGTGGCGTGGCATCAGCCTAGCTCACAGCAACCTCAAACTCCTGGCTCAAGCAATCCTACTGCCTCAGCCTCCTGAGTAGTTGGGACTACAGGCATGTGGCACCATGCCCGGCTAATTTTTTTCTATATATAGTAGTTGGCCAATTAATTTCTTTCTATTTATAGTAGAGACGGGGTCTCGCTCTTGCTCAGGCTGGTTTCCAACTCCTGACCTCGAGCAATCTGCCCACCTCGGCCTCCCAGAGTGCAAGGATTACAGGCGTGAGCCACCGCGCCCTGCCTGTTTGGTGATTTAATGTATGACAAAGGCCAGCATTTCAAACCAATGGGAAAGGATGGGGGAAAAAATGTAAAAATCATTCTGAGGTTGCATGCCATACAAAAAAATGGGCAGTCGGAAGGATTTAGGCCACAGGCTGTAGTTTGTCGAACTATGCTACAAACAAACGTATAGGCAAAGGCTCTGGAACAGTTTCCAAATGTGAGGCTCTGCAGACCCTGAAGGATTCAAAAATGTATCTGAGCTGATTCAAGGCCTTGTTGAGCAAAGGACATAGCTTGCAGAGCAGGCCCTTACATATGTGAAAAGATGCTCAACATCGTTCACAGTAGGTGTTTTTTTCATCTATTAGAATAGCAGAGACCTTCAAGTTCAGTAACACTTTACGCAGGTGAGGCTGTGGGGAATAGACACTGCCATACATTGCTGGTGGGAGGGTAATTTAGTACCGCCTCCATGGGGGTAGTTTGGCAAGATCTATCATCAGCATTACAAGTATATGTCTCCTTTGACCTAGGAATTCCAAGTCTGGGATTTATTCTTCAGATATGCTTGCACATGTGTGAAATGATGTAGAAATAAGAATATTCATTGCATCATTGTTTTGACAGAGATGGGAAACTACCCAAATGCTCATCAAGTAGACTGGCTAAATAAGTCACAGTGCAAACATTCAGTGGAACACGTGTGTCACCACGTTTAAGAAATGAGGAAGCTCTTGGCCAGGCGCAGTGGCTCTCGCCTATAATCCTAGCACTCTGGGAGGCTGAGGCAGGTGGATCTCTCAAGGTCAGGAGTTCGAAACCAGCCTGAGCAAGAGCGAGACCCCGTCTCTATTAAAAATAGAAAGGGGCTGGGCGGGGTGGCTCACGCCTGTAATCCTAGCTCTCTGGGAGGCCGAGGCGGGCGGATTGCTCGAGGTCAGGAGTTCGAAACCAGCCTGAGCAAGAGCAAGACCCCGTCTCTACTATAAATAGAAAGAAATTAATTGGCCAACTAATATATATATATATAAAAAAATTAGCCGGGCATGGTGGCGCATGCCTGTAGTCCCAGCTACTAGGGCGGCTGAGGCAGAAGGATTGCTTGAGCCCAGGAGTTTGAGGTTGCTATGAGCTAGGCTGACGCCATGGCACTCACTCTAGCCTAGGCAACAAAGCGAGACTCTGTCTCAAAAAAAAAAAAAAAAATAGAAATTAGAGGAGCAACTAAAAATATATAGAAAAAATTAGCTGGGCATGGTGGCGCATGCCTGTAGTCCCAGCTACTCGGGCAGAAGGATTGCTTGAGCCCAGGAGTTTGAGGTTGCTGTGAGCTAGGCTGACGCCACGGCAATAGAGTGAGACTCTGCCCCCGCCCCCCCCAAAAAAAAGGAAAAGAAAAAGAAATGAAGCTTTCTTTTTTTTTTTTTTTTTTTTTGAGACAGAGTCTCACTTTGTTGCCCAGGCTAGAGTGAGTGCCATGGCGTCAGCCTAGCTCACAGCAACCTCAAACTCCTGGCTCAAGCAATCCTGCTGCCTCAGCCTCCCAAGTAGCTGGGACTACAGGCATTCGCCACCATGCCCGGCTAATTTTTTGTATATATATATATTAGTTGGCCAATTAATTTCTTTCTATTTATAGTAGAGACAGGTCTCGCTTGCCAGGCTGGTTTTGAACTCCTGACCTCGAGCAATCCGCCCGCCTCGGCCTCCCAGAGAGCTAGGATTACAGGCGTGAGCCACCACGCCCGGCCATGAAGAAGCTTTCTGTTTACAGACCTGGAATGATATCCAAGATAAAATAAATAAATAAGAGGCAGGACAATTAATGTAATATGATGCTGTTTGTGTAAAAGGGGATTCATATACATACATAAGAAACTAATAAGAATTGTTGCCTCCAAGGAGGGGAACCGGGTGACTGGGTATTCTATATTATTATTATTTAACCTTTTAGATTCAAATCATGTGAATTTGATAGTTCATATTCAATATCTATTCAAAAATAAAGAAAAGTTAATAAATAAAATAAAAACAGTTACCCTGTCAGTCCTACAAAGCCCTACAGTAGGGAGACATGTCTACTTGTATTTACTCATTTCCCTGAGTATCATCTTGTACAACTTGTGTTCTGTGGCCCGCACTTTGAGTCATGCTTTCCAAAATGAGGTCCCACCTGCTTCCATTCCAGCTACTCTGATTTCTTCTCTCTGCATTGTATTTCTGATGTTTGGGTTTAGGTCAGTGGTGAGAAAAAATTACGTGGAGAAAAATGAATGATGGCATCATAATTAAAACTTTTAATTTGGAATTTAAAATGTTAAAGTAATTTACAATTACCTTTGAATTGCCTGTCACCCCAGGTCTGGGTTTCCTAACTGGTGTGTTGAAATTTGATTTCTTCAGCTTTGGAGTATGAAGGGCAAGGGCCAGGGGTGCCGGAGCCTCCAGGATGGTGGCTTCTTCAAGAATCCTACCCCCTGACTCCAGTGTGCTGTGTAAATATTATCATTTCCCATGTGTGTAGTAATGTGGAAAGGTTGGCAAATACTGCTCTAGGTAAAATGTGGTCTTATATTTTTAAAATATATGCTGCGTAAAAATAATTTTGGAAAACAAACAAAGTAGTTGTCTGTGGGACAACCCCAGTGTTCGTTTTGCTCCAGTGCGGGAGTCCTCGGCCTGTTTTCCCTGGTGAAAAGCTGGCTCAGCTTCCGGTTCCCCCACACAAGTCTATTGAAAAAGACAGAAAAGTCACATTTTAGGAAATGATTTTGCCTTTTTACTCTACTGCCAAGAAGTAAGTCATCAAAAAACCTGAGTATGTTCACCGTAGGTAGGAACAAAACCCTTCTGGCCCACCTCATACCTGACATAACAGTTGAGAACCACTGTCCTCCAAGAATAAGTGAAATGGTATAGCGTGGCTAGCTGAGGATAAGCTAATTGCAAACCACCAGGTGAAAGAGATATTTAAAAAAGTATTAGTGACAAGTAAAAAAAAAAAATAGTCATTTTAAGGGTACATCATGCAATTGTAACTAACTTTATCAGGTATCAATTTTCATGGGAACGGATTTGTCCTTCTGTTGCGTCCGGTGCGTCTGCCGATGTTGGTAATACTGTCTGTTCTTGATGTTTTCTGGAAAAGTAACTGAACTAGTATGTCAATGTTGTACTATCTGAAGAAATCTAAGAGCTGTTAAAATGCTTAAAAATAAAATGATCAATTCTTCTTTTGTTCTCTTGCCAGGATAATTGAAGCTATCTGCATAGGTTGGTTCACTGCAGAGTGCGTGGTGAGGTTCATCGTCTCCAAAAACAAGTGTGAGTTTGTCAAGAGACCCCTGAACATCATTGATTTACTGGCAATCACACCGTATTACATCTCCGTGTTGATGACAGTGTTTACAGGCGAGAACTCTCAACTCCAGAGGGCTGGAGTCACCTTGAGGGTGCTTAGAATGATGAGGATTTTTTGGGTGATTAAGCTTGCCCGGCACTTCATTGGTCTCCAGACACTTGGTTTGACTCTCAAACGTTGCTACCGAGAGATGGTTATGTTACTTGTCTTCATTTGTGTTGCCATGGCAATCTTTAGTGCACTTTCTCAGCTTCTTGAACATGGGTTGGACCTGGAAACATCCAACAAGGACTTCGCCAGCATCCCCGCTGCCTGCTGGTGGGTGATTATCTCTATGACTACAGTTGGCTATGGCGATATGTATCCTATCACGGTGCCTGGAAGAATTCTTGGAGGAGTTTGTGTTGTTAGCGGGATTGTTCTATTGGCATTACCAATCACTTTTATCTACCATAGCTTCGTGCAATGTTATCATGAGCTCAAATTTAGATCTGCTAGATATAGTAGGAGCCTCTCCGCCGAGTTCCTGAATTAACGCATTGCAAACCAATTCTTGCACACACTTCATAGAAAGAGTTGGCGCTGCTTCATATGCATGTGTTTCTTGCTGGGTGGGTACTGCAGTGGCACTGTCATCAGCTTGGTAGGGTAAAAATTATCCTTCCCAGCTGAAGGGATAAAACAATTTACTTATTATAAAGTAAAGAGAATTGAGACTGCAAAGGAAAAGTAATGACTCCTAGAGCAAACTTTAGGACCTTATTTTTTTACTGAGACAGGATTTCGCTGTACTGCCCAGGCTGGGCTCAAGTGACCCTCCCTCAGCCTCAGCCTCCTGAGTAGCTGGGATTACAAGCGTGTGCCACTGTGCCCAGTTTCTAGGACCTTATTTTATTTAGACTTGTTTCCTCCTTGCCTTGAATAATTACACATTATTTTTAAGTACATTATTTGATCATTTTAAAACTGAAAGGTACTATTTTCCAAATGTTTTTCCATCTTAGGAATTCAGAAGAAGCTTTGGAACTTATAGTGTTGTTTTTTGTTTGAGAGTAACATTTTCATTTCTAAATGTTTTATAATTTCTCATATCAATGTCAGAAGTATCCTGGAAACATATGTCACATGCAGGAACTGTTTAACAAATACTTTAAAAATTTGGCCAAAATTTAAACTGTATAATGGAGCTAGATACAAGCCAGAATAGTATTTGAAAAACTTTTCCAGCATACTTCTCAATTCTCTGCTTAATTTTTGTGCCTATTATCCACCTTATCATATAGCTTCATAGAAGCTTGAATATATTATCCCTTTTCCTTTTTATTTTTATTTATTTTTGTAGAGACGAGGGCTCGCTATGTTGCTCAGGCTGGTCTTGAACTCCTGGCTTCAAGCGATTCTCCTGCCTTGGTCTCCCAAAGTGCTGGGATTACAGGCATGAGCCACCACACCCAGCCACCTTTTTTATTTTGGATTTCTTATATCTCTTTACTGAAACATTCAGAAAAGTTTTAAGAATTGAAGAGAGCTTGTATTGTTTAGCGTTTTATTAAATAATATTTGAATTCATTGCTGTTACTAGATGATAATTGTCCTAACATTCAGATGTCCAGACAAGAATATTTCCAATATAAAAATGATAATATAGAAATAGTTTGATATTACTCAATAGAAATAGTTTGATATTATTCAATATTACAACCCATATTTATCTTCTTAACTTTTTCCCCCAAACACCATGGGTTGAATAAGACTTACCAAATATAAGGATATTTATGTAGCCTTTTTTCACCCTCTCATCTTTGTAGAGAAGTATATTTATGTAGCTTTTTAATACCAAAGTCACACTTACGTGTTGTCACTGGATTATCGTAAAAAGAAAAAATTAAATATTACTCTACTCTTAGTTGCTATGTAGCTAAAGTCAGTTTTAAGCCAGGTAAAAGCAATGAATATATAATTATTTGATCTGATCTTTACCATTGTGAATCAAAGCTACACTAAAATACTTTTTGTAACAATATTGAATAATATACCATATTAATCTGGCTAGGTTATTAGACTAGATAGTGTAAAAGTGATGATTGTTTAGTACTAAAGTTTAGCAATAGGAATTAGAATTTTGCTTTTTTATCCAGGTTGCCATAAAAAGTCAGTATATAAACATAAAAATTAAAGTCACAGATTCATGAATAATTTAATGTTGCACACTGTAATTTATCAAGGGTGGAAGAGAGAAGGGTCGGGAAGTGATAGGTAGGACATGGGACCTGGATATATTTATCAAAGAAAAGGATTACCGTAAGTGTTCATTAAAGGAATATTAGCCATTATCTAGTTCAAACCTTGGCTATTACAGGTAGAAAACCAGGGCAAGAGAGGATGTGATTGTGAAGGAATTGGGCCAAAATCTGGATCTCCAGAAACCTAGCCCAGAAATTTATTCTTCACATACCTCTGGGTGTTGAGAAAAGCCTTGAGAAACCACACTTCTTTGTCATTGTCATGCTGAAATAATAATAGCAAAACTCTTTTCTTTTTTCTAATTTCCTTTCCTGAGTTTATGTGGTATTTTGGCCATTAAAAATCTCACCCTATCTTCCCTACACTATTGGTGTGCTGCTCCTTTTTACGTACTCAAAATAAATTCTATTATTTATCGTATGTTTATTGTATTTTAATAAAATTGGAACAAATGGCATGATTTATTTTTTCTTACCTATTTAGATTAAAGCTTTGTGATTCACGCAAATAATGTGCAGGTGATAGCACCTCCATATTACTAATAAAAATATAACCATCAGTTTCACTGGTACCAGGAACTCTTCATGTGAATGTCTTATCTCCCAAGGTAAATCGTAACTATCTTGAAAGCTGGGACCCTATTCTATGCACACACCTTTATGTCCCCATGGTGTTTATTACAGACTTGGACACAAACTATTGACTGATATGGGGGGAGAAACTTCTGTGTGAAGAGGCAAGGCACTTGTGCATATATATGCCACATGTGTGAACACACACAGACTTTGTGCAGCCCTTAGGTAATGAGAAATCTCTTGTTGGTGATGCCAGAATTTTCATAGGACCAATTTCCATAAAGAAGCATGTTGGATAAATGCTATTGGCAGTTCAGCTACCTATTTATTAAGGAAATGATGAGACAGAGTAGTTCATTCATAAGTGAAAGAAATATATTAGAGTTTTGTCTGTAGATGTTATAGTTTTTTAGGAACAGAGCATTTTCTGGTTCATTTCCATGAACATTGCTGCTTTAAAAAACAAAATCACTAAGAACCACTTCTGTTTGAGCTGTACTTTTAGATATTTCTTTTAACTCAAGTCTTCACAACAGAAATATGATAATTGGGATTTATATTAGTACCAGAAAGTCAGATATTATCCCAAAAATACCCAAAGAAGAAAGAGGAAGCCTGAGTCTTTGTTCTGATCTTGTCACACCTGACTTATGTGACTTGATCTTATATGTAACTTGTTTTGTATTCTGTAAAATGGGGTTTGTCAACATTAGAAAACCAAAATTAGGGAATATATTTGAAAGTGAACATATATAACCATTCAAGGCTTTGTCTTTTTCTTTTATTACTGCATTGTCATTGCAGGTTGCTAGTTGAAACAGTTGCATTTGTTCTTGTGTTTAGTAGTTACTTGTAACCACACATTCATAAGTTCTTACTTTCTTAAATGTGTTAAAATATGTTCTTTCACAAAGGCTGTCAGTAAGTCAAAATATTATTTCCTCTTTTTAAACTTTTGTCCAGATGTCCTGGGATCTAGGAGAGGTAGGAATGAGGTTAGATTGGATGTTGGTATTTGGAGAATTTTCTCTGTTGGCTTGATATTTTCTAGAAGCAACTTATTTTGCCTGTTTTCTGTAGAAATGAAAAATAAAATGCTGAAAGTTCCTAGCTATGTTTTACTATTAACTTCTGTAACTCCAAATTTAAGCATAGTTTCACAGAATATTTCCAGAGCCCTCTGACCCTACATAAATGTGCATTCTGTTATGGTGGGCAATCCGATCAAACATGGTCTAAATATTTTATATTGTCGTTTGAAATTGGAACTAAAGGGGTGCTGGAGACGTTCTGGTCTACCTTGCCCCAATCGTATGCCCTTTGTCCTATCCAAATGTTAGCAACCAGGGAACTCTGCTCCCGTGGGTTGTGATTTACCCACAGTCAATCCAGTCTCAGGTTAAGCCCCAGAAACCTGATTTCTAGACTTTTTGTTCAGTACTCTTTGGATATACTTCCCTTTTTTAAATTTCACATCAGAAAGCATGAAGGGGCCGAGTTTGGTGGCTCACACCTGTACTCCTAGTACTCTGGGAGACCAAGGTGGGAGGATCACTCAAGGTCAGGAGTTCAAAACCAGCCTGAGCAAGAGCAAGACCTTGTCTCTACTAAAAATAGAAAGAAATTAATTGGCCAACTAAAAATATAGAGAAAAAATTAGTAAAAAATATATAAGACAAAAAAAACAAAACCCAGAAAGCATGAAGGATTTCTTTTGAAAATATTTTATTTAGAACTTTGGAGTCCTCCATCTTTTTGTAGATTGAATTAAAAAGCAAATGTTGCTTTTAGAAGCCTTAGTTGTCAGGAAGGAGGGCTCGGGACCAGTGCAGAGGGAATTCAGATTTTCAATAGAATTTTTAAGTTACAAAACAATTGTGCACCTGTTCTCATATTATACAAATAAGTACAGGTATTTCATAGTTATCATTGCATTATTTAGAAGAACCAGGCTGAGAAATGTCATAACTGAATAGGAAGTAACATGGGTTGAAGCTTTAATGGAATGTTCTGGAAAGGTTCCATTTTGTTCAAAGAAAGTTGCATACACTTCTCTGTTTGTTCAGCACTCTTTCATATGGCGTGTGTGTTTTTTTAATTGTCTTCCTTTATATATGTATATATAGTAGGAGATTGTCACGATGGGTAGTCAGTTGCCTTTTCTTGAGACAAAGTCTTACTGTGCCACTGTAGGTAGAGTGCAGTGGTGTCTATTGTAGCTAACTGCAAACTCCAACTCCTGGGCTCTAAGCGATCCTTCTGCCTCGGCCTCTCTGTAGCTGGGACTACAGGCGTGTGTAATAACGCCTGGCTTGGTTTCTTTTCTTTCCTTCCTTTTTGGTAGAGATGGGATCTCACTCTTGCTCAGGCTGGTCTTGAACCCCTGAGCTCAAGTGATCCTCCCGCCTTGATCTCCCAGAGTGCTAGGATTACAGGCGTGAGTCACCATGCCTGGCCCCAGCTTTGTATTTTATATACACAATGATAGATGTGTACAGGAACTCAATTAGGGAATTCTATAACCTGTGAGTCATCCTTCTCTTGTGCTTTGTGTTATCATCCCCTGAAGTAGATATTTTTTAGATTTTGTTTTTTTATGCACTGAGGTCTCTTGAGAAGGGCATGCCTGCCTAGGGGTCAAAACTAGATCAAATAATTAAAAAGCTGATATGTATGAAATCAGATTTGAGAAATTGGAATAACATTTGACTTAAAAATGAGGATTTTTGTCAACTAAGGTATAGTTTCCTGGTCCCCACAAAAGTTTCCTAAGGAGTAACTGGGGAGGATAGATGGATACCTTCTTTCTATTTATTTCCTGGTCTACATCTTTACTGACTTGCCCTCTCTCAGTTGAGTGACTCGCATCCTATTCTGTTTAATCCCACAGAAGTGAGTTATTAAGCATGTCTTCACTGTGCTGAGAGGCAGTTGAGTGGCTAGGGAGAAAAATGAGGAATAGTCACTGTATATTTGACTAAATTGACCAGTCAGTGTTGCTGGCACTGTGGCTCTCTAGACAACTTTAGGCTATTTGAGAAGAGTAATTATGGAATTTACAAAATGGAACTAAATAAATATGGGGTGGTCTTAACAATGCATTTTTTAAAAAAATCGAGATATAATTCACTTATTATAAAATTTGTCATTTACAAATGTACAGTCCTTTGATTTTTAGTATATTCACAGAACTGTACAACCACCACCATTATCTAGCTCCAGAACATTTTCACATACCCTGCACCCATTAGCAGTCACTTCCCATTCCCACTCCACCCATCCCGTGGCAATCTAGTTTCTCTTTGTATGGATTTGCCTATTCTGGACATTTTATATAAATGGAATCATACACTTTGTGGTCTTTGTGTCTGGCTTCTTCCACTCAGTATAATGTTTTTAGGGTTCATTCATCTTGTATTTAATAGCATGAATCAGCACATCGTTCCTTTTTATGGCCGAATAGTATTCCATTGCAGGGATAGACCATATTTTGTTTATCCATCAGTTGATAGACATTTGGGTTGTTTACACTTTTTGGCTGTTATGA